GAATATTTCTGTAATTTGAATGGGTTAATACTCAAATATACTGACATTTTTCTAGAAACTAATTAAAACGTTGTAAGTACAAGAATAGCACTCTTTATTTTACAGAAATATTTGCTGTTGAATGCAATTGCCAATTAAAAGTGACTCTCAAAAGATATCCCTGGTAGATGACCATTTACACACAGTTACAGACAATGCAATTGCCTAGTGTCATATAACTTAATTCATAATTGGAATAGAGTATACCGTTTCCTGGGCATTTTGTTGTATAATATACATGTGTGTATACTTGTATACGTAAATAACTTCGGATGACGTCAATTGTTCTTTGCATGAGGTCCGTTAAGAAGCATATACTTACGCTTCCGTATATACTCGTTCATAGCACAGTGTAAAGAAAAAAAAATCATAAAACCATCGCCAGCTACAGATGTTCTAATGAATTTCAATGTTGATTATACTAGTTCGTATAAAAACTTTGCTTGAAAAAATGCTTTCTCTGCGGAAGTCTCGATAAGCATGTCCGACTTCGACCAAATAGACCCATCTGTTGGAAATCATTGTCTTAAACTTTCGTAAAACAATTCCCTCTCCAACATACAGATTATCTTGCCTTTCTCGCCGAAGTAATTTGCACGAGCCAAGGCTCGACCATGTTATGCTTGTGACTTCATTTATGACAACTATGATATTTTGTTTCTTCTAAACTCTCTCTACTTCAACTAGACGTGTAACTAAAATCTAACTCTTACTAAGGCAAAGCGTTAAAAATGACCCTTATTTGATCAAAATTTAACGACTGGTCATTTCTCAACGACTCTTTCATACATGTGAACCTCCCACTTAAAGCGGGAAACTCCCACTTTCTGCAGACATATTTTCAAAGATTTTTTTCTTAAAATAAGGGGTATTTTCACAAATTAAAGAAATCTCCATTCCTTTGGTGTCAGAACTTCCTTATTTGTTTATTGCAAATTCAAAATCTCCCTCTTTTTTGAAGAAAAATCTCCCACTTGATTATCAAAAAAAGTTCACATGTGTACATAAAAATTATAATGTTGAATTGTTGGCAGTGCCAATGCTCAACGTTGTAAATTGACTCAGGTTCATTTTTTTCAAAATTGAAAACTGACCCATGGCTGTTTGGAGAAGATTTTTTAAAGATACATTTAGCCTCTGTGAACATTATATATAATGGACCAGACCAATTTGAACAATTTGGTTTAGCTTTATGCAAGAAACATTTTTGTCAAATTTTATCCAGATTGGTTTCAGAGCGCATTTGAATGAATTGTGCACGTACGATCAAGAACCCACGCCTCACTGAAAGACAACGTGGTAAAGTAGGCTAATAAAATAAAAGAACTAAACGTTGCGATTTTTACATGACTTTATTAAAGCTATATATGTTCAGTCTGCTGGCTAAAATCTTAAAGCTGTTAATTAGAATGGTAGCTATTTTTAGATACATGCATAGTTTGAAAATTGATTAGTTTTTTTTTCATTTTTACAATACATGAATCATGAAAATAAGTTGCAAAAAGCTGATTAGGTAATACAATAGATGAGCTTACTGAGCTAAACTTATCAAGTATAATATGAGCTGTACAATTTATTTCGACAAAATATTTGTTTTTAAGTAAAATGATCTTTTTAAAAGATATTTGCCATATATGTAATATTTTACTTTGAAGCAACGAACTTAACAATTACATGTGCTGTAAGTATTCATCAAAATATATAAAATGATATAAAAACGTATGAAATTAATATAACAAAATTTTGACAAAATGGTTTGTCAAATGTAAAAATCTAATTTCATCTCAAATTGATATACATGTATTTACAAATGTTCCTTTGGTGATTCTAATCCTAGTGCGTGTCTGTGCCTTTACTCCGATTGAACTTTGCAGTGTCAATACAATCTATTTTCCACTACAAAGATGTGTCTATTTATCTGTCGGAATAATATGACTTAGGTAAACGCGCGTCATCATTTTCCTCGACGTTTCACTTTTTTCCCACTTTCCGTATTCCAGGCTTGCTGTATTTTCTTTACATTTCATCATATTGTTCTTTTCGTCAGCATAGGAGAAAGTTCTGAATCAACCGGCATATCAGCATTTGGTGTCAACGCTTCAATCCAACTTGATACATTCTCGCATTTATCAACCTCAAATACAAGGCCGCGTACCTCGCGTGGATCACTCGTTTCCTTTTCGCTGCTATGGATAACTATTTCATGAGAATCCATGGGATTGAAAACATGACATTTCCTCATACTGATGTATCCGTACATAAACCTGTAATCCGAGTCGGTGTAGATTTGAGCATGATGCTCATATTCGTTCCGAAATACTTTCATATACAATGTGTGCTTGGTACGTTTACCATTTGCCATTCGTATTAAAGAAATCCGCCCAGATTTAATGTCTATTTCCGAACTTCTGTGCCTATTCTTGTACACCATCCTCGGTGAAATCAAAAGGAATTGTTCCATTATGTTTGACGGCTTTAAAACGCTGCGAGTTTTGACTCTTTTATGAAGAAATATCAAGAAACATAGTATTTATACCACTTTGCAATGACGTAGCTTTGACATCATCAGTCTGACATTTCTCGCATTTTGCTTTTGTTCAAATTTTCTGGATTGGCGTCTCTATCAATGATGTAAAACTTACATAGGAAATACGCAAAAAGAAATGTTGAATTGTACAATTCATTCTAAGACGATTCGCGCATATAATTTATCGATACTAAAGTCGAACAGGCGATCGATTATAATAAAATCGCTCGAGCGACATATACTTAAGTTCAACGGTACTTATTAATAACGCTCTGTTTTCTTTCTGTTCCACAATTTTAGAAAAGATAAGATATACTAGCCTGCTAAACTGGGTTTATTCAAAACATTGATTAGAGCAAAGTCTTTTAAATAGTCTTTTCTATCTAGGCATTTGAGAGTTGAGGATTTGAAGTAAGTACAGTGTCAAGGACTGTCAGATATGTTTTCGATGAATTGTTCAAATATAGATGGAATTTATTGCAACCCATGTCCGTATACAGGGGCCATCCGAGTACGAGAACAACTACACTAAGAGAAAGGGATTCTTTTTCATCAATATCCAAGCTGTGTGTGATTACAGAGGTGTATTTCTGCTTTTAGCACGAAACCTTTTATATTAACAACTAAATCTGTTGAAAATCAAATTAAAATTGATGCTTTTCCTTTACTTATGTGAAATATATCAGTTAGAGGTAGGATTTTATCATAGTTCTGCTGAAAATAATAACATTTTTACAGCACGGATAAAAACCGAAATTTTATCCATCATCCCAGTTTCAAGTTGCATGGACATGCCATTTAAATGGACTAAGGGGCCATTTCTTTTGTTATTTTCTTTTGATAGAGTGCCATGGCCCTTTATTCTATTGTTACGGAATGGACTCTATTGTACTCTTTTATTCTGTTTATAGTTACATGCGCCTCTTCTTTTCTTAAATGGCCCTTAACTTTTCAACATCTCTGTATTTTCCTTCTAGATGATTGCATAGTTCAACTTGTTTCAATGTATAGAGATTAAAGAATCTACATAATTATGTTTTAATTATTCACCTACAGTATCAGAGAAGATTGATTGGTAAAAATATTTATATATAGTATATTTACATGTACACTATATATGTTGTATGTAGAATTGAACTAGAGATGACGGTTTAAAAATGTTTTGAACAACCCGGTCTTGGTGTCAACATAGTCTACCCATGTGACTACCCATGTGACTACCCATGTGACCAAGATCATCCGGATCATCCGTGCATGTCGTCTGGTCATGAGCTGTATTGTTCGCAATTCTGTCAGCTCAATAAAAACAATGGTTTTGTCTACGATTTTTTCTAAAATATTTAGCATGGTGTTTGTTTAAGACCCTGTAACGTAAATTTTTATGGTTTTATATCATAAATCTGATGCTCTAATGAAGATTTATTAATATTGCAAGTTTCAAAAAGCATTATTGGGACGAAGTCCGTCTGTTATCAGTTTGACTGCCTGTAAAATTGACAGGGAAGGACTGAATATAAGAAGAATTTTCTTTGGTCATTTTGAAATTACAAATTGAAAATTATGAATTTCATTGGTCATTATTAAATAAAATGTAAAGGATAGTTCTAACCATTCTAAAATAAAATGTACCGTTCTAAAATAAGATTTTAAGGACATCACTAAAATAAAATGTAAGGGACAGTTTTTGCCACTATAGAATGTAAATAATAGTTCTAAAATAAAATGTTTAGGAATAATAGTTTTTTTTAACTTTTGAGTTAATTTGTTATTGATTACAAAATTTATGAAGTCAAACATAATTTAAGTGAAATAGACACCTAACTTAGAAGTTGTCCTACTTTAAAAAACAACGATATCAATATGCTATAATTTAATTTCAATATTTACAAAATGGGTATTTTGTAAGCTACAAGAAATAATTATCATGTCATAGTTATGCAAGCATTGCTAACATTACTTTTACTTAGAAATAACATAATTTTGCATGTTAATTAGTTTAACTTCCGCCGAATATTTTTTTAAAGATATTTCTTGTTTAAAAATGAATGCATGAAATTAAAGGTTTAATAATAATGCATATAAACATTTGCTGTACATATCTCCTTAGATGTTTGGAAATTGTTTTAGAAAAAATAATTATATACATAATTATATAAAACTTCATTTAACTGTGTTACACACTTAATTACATTTTGCAGGATCTTTAAAGTACATTGTAGCTGTTGATAGTAATGTAAGACAAGTACATGTGTATGTTTTTGATGTACAGACCAATCCATTATGAGTTTAAATCATGCATTTCTATGCTCAAATTATAATACATTAAGTGTTTATATACTTTAAGCCGGCAAATATCGGAGCAAGTGCTTACATTAAGACATTTAACCAAATCAAATGGACATACCTTCCAAAAGAGCTTTTATCAAATCCAATATTCATTTTTAACATTAAATTTATTAGATACATGTACTTGTTATTATTTTGAACAAACTGCACATGTGATTTCTTTGCCGTTTTGGTATGGTGGACAAGTTAAGGCGCCACACACAGCCTCCGCAAGGTAGAAAAGCTTCCCAAGATGTTTTGCGCTTCCACCTGCGATTACATCCAGATCTTTATCCAAACAAACAAATTCGGAGCCCGCCTTGTGTTCTATAACAGAAAAAAATCAGTTTAAACTTAATTTCGTTGTCTTATAAAAGAGCAAAATATATTTTACATCTTATGTTCATTCACTACATGAAAGACCTGAAATAAGTTGCCATATGTTTTCTTCAGCATAAGAGGCTTAGACACCTATATACTTACTTACAGACATACCTTTTTATTGTCAAAATAGGCAGAAATTGCTGTTACACCGAAAAACATGTGTTATAAGTAATGTACTTGCAAAATACATACAAATTTCATCTGGTTTGTAAATTACATACTTTGATTTATAATATTTTTTTTTGCTTTCTTATGTTCACTCAATATTTTTATTATTGAAGAGCTAGTTATTTCTTTAATAACTCTCTGATCATAGGCTAGTAAAATAATCTTTTGTTGTTTTTGTTGTAACTGCTACTGTTGTGGACTTCCTTCAATTTCCTTTATATTTTTTTTAATAACATACAGAATAATTGTTTCGATGATAATTTTAATAGAAGAAACTATCCTAAATTTTAGACAAATCCAAATTGTCTAATATATATTATACACTTTACAAATCTTATTAAGGTGCATGTATAAATAATCTTATATGTAAGTCATTGGTGCACCAGGCCAACATTTCACCTGAGAAACATGAAATGATATTTCATTTACCAGATTTTATAACAAACAAATTTAACACTCATTTATGCCCAATAAATGTGATGGTGAGTAAAAGTAAATTTCGCAAAATGATGATAATGGTGATACCTTTTTCTCATACATGTCGTTGACAACAACCTGGGAGCGTCGTTGCATGTATTTAATTAATATAACTTTCTACATATAATTTTGGGGTAGATATGCTCTGTCTTAAACTATCTTGGCACGTGGCTGGGTGAATGTGTGTTGCACTACTCCAGATAGTGCAGAAAGACTGCTGTTATTAACAATGTGACCATTAATGGTTATCTGAACGCAGATCAATACTTACAGGAAGCTTTACCAGAACAATGCGAGAGCGACAACATAATGTATAAACATCGATCAACGTGATGGATCCCAGACGTAAATATGATATGAGCCGCGTCACGACAAAACCAACATAATGGGTTTACGACCAGCATGGATCCACAGTCTGATCAGGATCCATGCTGTTCGCTTACAAACCCTATTACATGTAGAGAAACTAATAGCGACTGGATCCATGCTGGTCGCAAACCCATTATGTTGGTTTTGTAATGACGCGGCTCAAATTATAAGCTTCAACCGCCTCATAAGAAGATTTGATATTCAGTGCCACAGAACATCGCCCAGCGATATGCGGATAGTGTCCAAGAGTGTATAAATCTTTCCACAATCATGAACAAGGTAACGTTTATCGGGCATGCATGTTTATTTTATCTCTCAACGGTATTTATTGCAAGTTCTAGCGTGATAAGACCTGGAAATGTTTAATTTTTTGTCAACAATGTTCAAGCTATCACTTGCCATCTAGGTTGTATACCGTTTTATCATAACCATCAGTCTAGTTGAATATTTGTTTTTCTGTCTTTCTCTCCCTCTCTCAAAGAAATCAAACATGTATTTCTTTTTTCAAAACAAAAAACAAAAACAACATTTTACATTATGAAGGTTATGTATTTACGAAAAGAATTTATGATTATTTGTTTTTTGCACTCTCACATTCACCTTCAGTATAATAGTTCATCTGATGAATCTATACGCACATGTTGGTTAGCAACATTTCGAACTAAGGTAACTTTGGCGTAGATACATAAAAGTGCGTGAATTAACCTACTAAGAGTATAAATGCTATATGAACTTTATATTTTATAACATTTTATGCAATCTTTACAAAGATTTAAACAAAATTGGGGTATGATTTTTTACTGCAGCAACAATAACGAAAGTGACAAAAAAAATAAATAAAAAATAAAATCATATAAAAATGCATCTTGATATTTTTTTCACAAATCATTTAAAATGTTAATCTCTGACATGTATAACTTTGTAACTTTGTATACAAATACACATGTATCAATTTTCATACATTATGCATAGTGTAGTACCAATATAGACAGTGCATTTACAAAAAAAAGCCAATTATTTTCATGTACCGGATAAAATGTGTATTCATGTAGTTTATACAAAACAAACATTTTTATATTTTATTTTGTGTCTTAAAAATATAACGATTATAAAGGGACACGTTTGAATGATAATAAATGTAATGATACCGTAATGTCCTGCCGCTAAAAGACCTTCATATTCGAAAGTCCAACCCGCATAACAAGTGTTTTTACCAGGTATCATAAGCACCGTTGATCTGTAATTAGTTGAAAATAAAGCATCATCTATACATAAAATTTATTGACAAAATAATTGCTTTATTAAGCAATGCTACTGTTTAGATAAGGGTATTTGTTAATCGAAAAATTTCAGTTTGAAAGAATAGTTTTATTGATTTCAGGATGCATAGATAATTCTCACTAATCTATGCTATGGTCTATGCCTGACCTGTATCATGACCTCTTTTGTTTTATGGCATAGTTGACAGTTTAACATCATCGATACATTTAGAATTATTTCATTATAATAGCTTTATTAAGCAATGTTACTGTCTAGATAAGGGTGTTTGTTGTTAGAAAAATATCAGTTTGAAAGATTAGTTCCATTGATTTCAGGATGCATAATTCTCACTTATCACATTTATTTTGTATTATATGGTATGACTTATGTATGATATGTATCATGGTCTCTATTAGTTTTATGGCATGGTGGTTCATTATGTTTTGTATTCTCCGTTCTCCATTTGTGTTCTCCATTAGTTACTTATCCTATTTTGTATCGTATTCTCTATCTGCTTTATATCATGGTACCTATGTCTATTTTGTATCATGTTTTCTGTCTGCTTTATATCATGGTACGTTTGTCTGTTTTGTATCTTGGGTTTTAATTATTTTACATAAATTGCACGCTATTTACTCTAAAACTCTAGTCCTGTCATCTGTTTGATGACACCCCATTTATATAATCCCTCATTTAAGTCGTGACAAAATTGGCTTATTTGAAATATACACTATATTTGATAGACAATCACGAATTGTAAGTCAAAATGTCTGAAAATAAAGTCTATTAAGATATATCAGGTAAATTACCTTGGCACACGGCATACTGCACATGGAGCATTTTGAAATGTTATGTCTTTACCAAACAATCTTTGTGATGTTTCTACCCAGTTAGAGTTGTCTATGACGTATTCAGCACCAAATACCTCAATAAACCAATAGCAACAAAATAATGTTAATGCAGTTACATCAATAAACTTAATATGCTGGTTTTAAGTACCCCAGAATGAGTTTATAGCAGATTTCATTTTTGTATGGAAATCATTTAGATTAAACAATCAGTACTAGATTGTGAAAATGGTGCAGTAAAGTCCTATTATGTCAATCTTTGCTTAAATGTGAGATTTTCTGGAAAAAGGTTTGTACTGGCAAAGCAATGAAATCAAAAGTCAAAATGTGACAGAGGCAATAATAAAAGGCTTGATGTCTCTCACGCTACCTAGCAGCTACATAAGCAATATTTCTTTTATCTTCAAGTTCAATCTGACTTTATTCTAAATATTTTGAAATTTTCTTAATCAAGTTGAAAAGATGAGGACTTGTCCCGTATAAAATATAAAGATTCAAGTAGGTACTGTACTAAACCGGACCAAAACGGGATATACTGTATTTCAAATATGAATGTAATCAAAATGTCACTGGAAAGTGGAAAGCTTCCATGCATTCTATTTATTTAAGAAATGTGCTAATATGACTAATTCTATACACATGTTTTAATTTTATTGGCATCATTCAAATTAGAAAAAAAAAACAACAACAACAACAAATACCTTTGCTTAATCATTGACAAATGAAATACATGTATATAATATATTACAAAGTGCGGATGTTACAACGAAATCAATGAATGACGCTTTTCTTACCATGTTGCGTCAAATCAATTAATATCATTCACACATACGTTTCCTGTTTTTATATAAATGCGTCATCTAAGAGAGAATTCATGTAAGTCAGACCCGTAGGAACTGGAGGGGAGTTTATGGGGGCTTAGGTCCCCACCCAAATAATTCCACAGCAGTAATGGTGAGCTGGTGACTACTTTAGGCTGTCTATTGTATATGTCCTACGCTTAAAAGTTAATGCTTTTTGTTAAGATCGAAAGATTAAAATCTGATAAAAAATGATTTATATACCGGGTAAATGTTTTGTTGGCTCACAACTTGAATATCTGTCTATATATATGTTATCTCAGATTAATTTTTGCCTGGGACGAAACACTTTTTCCTCGTTAATTTTTGCTGATTGAACACGGATTTTTCCATTGCTATAAATATTTTTGTATTGTATTTTAAGGAAATGACTGTCCACTAATTTTGATGTGTTCCTTCATCAAGGGGTACAATATTTTATTGTCTGACAATGTATGAAAGTGCCTAACACAGTAAAAGCTCGAAATTCCTCTTTTTACACAACATTATCAGAGCAGATAAAAACATTTCATTTCAAAACACTTGACAATGTAACATTTGGAGCCTGGGTCTGACCAGAATTTGCTCTGTTATTATTTAATATTCACATTCCTTGTAACGAATGGTACAATTCACTCATTCAGAACAAGGTTTACAGGAATTAAGTCTTAAAGAGTGATACATTTGTCAGAATTTAATCAACGCCTCAAGATGAAATGCAACTTTTTCATGAAAATGAAATGCTACCAAGCAACCAACGAAATCCTATTAAATTACTAGTTGTTTCATCGAAATATTAAAATATATGGTTCTTTTTTATATAAAAGTGTATAATTAAGAAATAAAAAAGTTTACAAGTCAAACCCCTAATGGAAATGGAAAAGATTGAATACCGCTTAAGTTGGTGCTGGGGTGAATGCAAGATATTGTATTGACATTGTTTCTCGTGCAAAGCCTCAGGCAACACCAAAATGGTTAAAAAGTACGCCCAAACAGGAATATTTGATAATGATATACACAGAGCCTGTTTATGGACGGTATTTATATTATGTATTTTACAAACATTATATTTTTAGACTTTAAAACCTGCTTTATACCTGTGCACCTTTGTTGAAAGAGCTGTTGCCAACTAGATACGGGTCTTTTACCAGGCAAATGAAATTTGTTGCTGCACCAGTGTTATCCCAGTTCGATCCTGCTCCATAGCCTGCCAAACACATTTTACAAGTACAATTATGTCAGTGACCCTTTTACGTCATCGACATTTGAACGTGAGAATTAGCAGCGCTAATTACGTGTCCGAAAGCAAACAAACAACTCGTGTTAAGTTGGTTAATCAAGATGCCAGATCAAAGTTATAGCTTAAAAGCCTAACACATAGAATATCTTACGCAAACATATATAATGAAAAGGGACAAATTTCCAGACAGGAAATGCCGCGTGAGTAACCGATGACGACACAGCTTATACTTAGCACTTAAACATGGTATAGCAACTAGATATAAAATTCCAATTTCCGTTTACTAATTAGGTATGCTGCAAATAGATGTTGACTATCAAACCGTTTTATAGGTGCGCCTGGTTTCCTTGCTTTCTTAAAGAATGAGTTTTCATGGAAATACGTAAACAATATAATAATGCGTGGGAAGGTTTATATGTCAAAAGACATCAATTAACTTAATGACGTCAGGTCAGTTACGTAATATATATACATGCATTTGGTTTTCTTTGCAGCGTCAATTCTTAATCGATTTGTAAATTTCGTAAAATAAAGTCTTTGGGTTTTTGTGTACTTCTTTGTTCATCCAACAATAATAATATTTTATGCATACGACAAAAGGGCTCTTGAGTCGTCAATTTAGAACACACCTGCTCAAAGGTGTTTTTGGTACGACTGGTGTTCATGCAGTGCTCCTTCAAATCAGGTGTGGGATTTCCGGTGCTAACGTAGGTGGATCTCTTTTTCTGTTTTATAACATAATTTCAATAATAAAAACCATACTTCGGCCTTGCTACTATTATAACGTATTTACTTTCTCAACTTAATAGAATTTATTCTAAGAGAGAAAAGTGCAATATTATATTTCCCGTTACGCTGAAAACAAAGTGAATCTTAATAAAAAAATGTTTCCTTTTATATATATTAAAGTCAATTTACCTCTTAATTTTGATCAAATTATACGTGTATGTACTGCCAAGACTTCCTAGTAAAGTATCAATGTTAAAGAGTATAAATACAGTAACAGTTATTTATTATTCAAATTCACTGCTGCAGGTGCGCGCATGGTGCTTCCTGTGTGTTTGATTTTAATTTGTAAAGTGGTTTCAATACGTTGTATAACGTTTTAGCACACAATCGTTATTGGAATGCAGCTGACAGATAAATTGTCTTATGTCTCCATCCTTTAAAATATTCTATCAAAAAGCAATGAACTTTATTCATCTGTAGTCTTTCATTAGTTGATGTTTTATTAAACAAAAAGACAAACATCTTTTTTTTTAACATTCAATACCCTTTTTTTGCAAACTATTTTAATAGAATATAACTGTTTATTACATTTACACGTGTTATTGTCAAATGATTGATGATATACTGAATAACGAGGGCGCACGAGTTTTGCTGCATTCTCATGTTTTATGCTGTATATGTCACTAGGTCAAAGGTCAAGGTCACACTGGCCTTAAATGTCAGAATGATATCGAACATATTTTAGGGAAATAAAGTAGGGAAATACTATCCGGGCCACTATCTGGGATTCATGAAACAAAGGATTATTTACACATAATATAATATAGAATGCTTTCTTTCCTAATCTTAAATGCGTTCTAAACACATTCAACTATCTTCCAAAGGCGAACAACTAAAGCAACATGCGCACACCTGCAGCACCTGAACAAGAAGACTAAATTAATGTATTTTCTTTTTGGTACCGATTCTATACCCGAAGCCGATGGAAGTCATAACAAATCTAATTTTATCAAATCTGATAGGTACAATGGCTTTTATATATCAAATGAAACACTTTTTATACCAACTCGTTCGCTGTTTTCCGCCGCATTAGCCAAAGAACTCGAAATACATTCTTCTTAGCTGAGAAAATATACACTTACTATAACAATAACCAGGAATTACAGTTATCATATTGAAATTTATTTACAGAAATTTTAGAAATCACCATAAAAAGCACCATCTAACTTGCTTTTTCAAATTTGCCTGCTAAATGACAGCACCGGAAATTGCACAGCGGACGTGAAGCGAAGCAGCAACGTGCCACAGATGTTCGTTGAGCATTCACGAGTAGTGAAATAATTTCGAGGCAGTATAGCTAAATTGCGATTAATTATGGCTGTTGCTGTTGTATTATAATTATTAATTATTATATATATATTATTATTATTATGTACATTTATTATATTATAAAGACAAAGTAGCGTGAAAATGAAAATATACAAATATTATATACCAATCAGTTTGTCGTATTGCAAGATTAACCAACAGAATGTACCGATACTGCTGATAATTACTGCATGAGTACTTGCAAAAAAGAAGTTCCTTATACTACAACAATCAGACGCAACAAATTGAAGGGTCAGTGCAAGAAGATACATTTCATTCATATACAACTTTATAAGGTTTGTTAGTAGGAATCGAAAAACAAATTTCACATGTCAGTGAAGTAGTAGTAAACACTAGGATAAAATTGCCAAAAAGACATTCAAAGAATTCAATCATATTTATTTCATACAGGTATTTTGGAATTACTCTTTATCAAAATTAAAACTTTTGTCAATTATTATAATTCATTTTTATTATTATTATTATTATTATTATTATTATTATTATTATTATTATTATTATTATTATTATGTAAAGACAAAGTAAAGCAGATTAAGACAAATGAAAATATACAAATATACCTGAATATACCAATTCAGTTTGGTCGTTATTGCAAGAACTTTTACCCCAACGAACGTACGTCGACCAACTGCCACTTGATTGACTCATTTGTTGTACTGTTGACTTAGCAATGTTAAGTTCGGTTTTGGTATTCGTTAGATCTTGGGTTAGCTGCTGTACTTGTTGTTGTAGTGAAGTGATAGTCTTATGTGAGCTGTTTTGCTGTGTCTTTATGCTTTCAATCTGCAAGAAATTAAACATTGTAATAGCTAACGCTGGTTTACAATTTTACACTATTAATCAGCTCACTTAAGTTTTTTTTAAGCCTAAAGTACGTAAGCTGATCTTTTCTGACGGCACCGTGTCTGTCGGTCGTCGGTCACCATTACCCTCAATATCTATATACAATAATGTGGCTCAGACCATTCTTTATACAGAGATAAGTAAACGTGAAGAAAATGTAAATAAAAAATGTTCTGCAACAAAGCTGATGTATGTGAATGTTTTATGTACTTATATGTTTATTGACGCCGTGTCATGCCGCAGAAAATCATGTGTCTTATTCAAAATCATACACGAGTATAAAACAATGTGTGGTATAGTAAGTTTTACCTCTTGGACCACTCGGGACACCGTATGTGCAAGGTTGCTTTGATCGTCAAGTATAAGTCGCCTTTCCGCTCCACAGTAAACGTTCGAAAAACAAAGAAAAATCAAAGCAACAACACACATGAACGCCATGTTGTACTTAAATATATATTCTAGTTGTAGTCACTGTTCTTATGATGAAATCATTGTTAGTTATAATTTTATTTAGGACAAAGATAACTAAAAATGGGTCGGTCAAAGAAATGGGACACGTTCTGTAAGGAAATATATAATATGACATAGACAATTTATTATTGTTGTTATTTCTGAGTTCGATTACTTTATGTAATTACACAGCATAGTATCATAGTTGTATCACAGGCAAAATATAAATGAAAAGTCAACTTTTAAAAGATTTTCTGTGACCTTGCATTAAATTTCTCTGGTCTTGTGACGCTTAACGTTATAAATTTCGTTTAAACAAAATAAATTTAGTTTACTGGCATTTTTTTTTTATATTTATTACCACTATATTAACTGCTACTGCTGCGCTACTGCTACTGCTGTGCCACTGCTACTGCCAATTTTACATTTTATAATTTTGCTACTGCCAATTTCACGTTTTATAATTTTGCTACTGCTAGTGCTGTGCTACTGCTACTGCCAATTTCACGTTTTATAATTTTGCTACTGCTACTGCTCTCCTACTGCTACTGCTAACTTCGTCTACTGCTACTGCCTACTTCCCATACATATGATATACGTCATTTCAATCTATTATATAGATGTATATGGATCTAAATTAGTTAACGCATGTTTTATTTAGAAAGGGTAAAAGAGATTTTTGAACAACTTCATGAACGAAGATTGAAGATTTTTAATTTTTCTAGCGTAGATCTATCCATGTCTCTTTCTCTGAAGAAAAAGTAATAAAATGTAAGAAATATTTGTTTCGTGTTTTCCCCCAGCACTTTTAACATTGATCCTAAAGCCTTTTTACTACTTTTTATAAGTTTTTTTTCCTTGACATCATGCCGGTTTACTGCTATGCGTTGAATCCAGGAAACCACATGAAATTTTTCTATGACATGTGTTTTTTTTATAAAAGAAATACAAAATATTTTCTTTGTGTAAGGATAAAAGGTCAAATAAATTTACAGGCCCTGTGAGTTTACCATTTTCTTAGTACGAAGAATGATCTAGCTATTATCGTATGATACCGATATAATGTCCGTGAGTATAGATCTACGTCATCTAACTCACGTTTTAAGATTTATTTTTCTTACGTTTTGAGAATGCGTTAATAGAATAGAAACACCTTTTTGTTTTTAAGTAATGATTATTCATGTAATGTCGTCATTATATACGTCACTACATGCATTACATGAGATATTAGTGAGCCGCGTCACGACAAAACCAACATTGTGCGTTTGCGACCAGCATGAATCCAGACCAGCCTGCGCATCCGCGCAGTCTGATCAGGATCCATGCTGTTCGCTTACCAACTCTATTACTAGTAGAGAAACTGATAGCGAACAGCATGGATCCTGATCAGACTGCGCGGATGTGCAGGCTGGTCTGGATCCATGCTGGTCGCAAACCCATTATGTTGGTTTTGTTGTGACGCGGCTCAAATCATTTTTTAAGATTTGTGTTGTGTGTTATTTGTAGAAAAAATGTTGTTATTCCTATAGACCAAATTTATAGTTCTACTTTGAATATTTTCCACTTACATACCGAAATGATTATAGTTAAAGACTTACTGTTATGGCGGGCAATTGCGGGGTCGTGTGATTATGAGCAGATAACTCAAGATGTAAGACGTATGTACAACAATTGTCTCCCTTTTATTACAGTTTTATTACATTTTTACTTTTTTTATCTACTACTTAGAGCAGGCGACATTGAGTCAAATCCAGGCCCCGAGATAAGTAAGGAAAATTGTTTAACTATATACCATCGAAACATTCGTGGCATTAGAAGTAAACTAGACTTTGTAAATGACAACTTTCTCGATTATGATATTTTGTGTTTTACGGAAACAAAGTTGGATGCAAATGTTCAAGATAACAACTTATTTTTACAGGGGTTCGATCATATGTTTCGTAAGGATATTTCATGTCATGCTGGGGGGGTTATAAACTTATGTTTCCGCTTTTTTAAGACCAAAACGTGTAGATGTTTTGGAAAACATCCTTCCAGAATCGCTTTGGATAGAAATTAAAGACAAAAAACATTCATATCTATTATGCACTTTATATATGCCCCCTCATAGTACGGTCGATTTTTTGGATAAATTAAATAGGTGTCTCGAACAGTTTCTAGAGATGCAAAACCACATAGTCATGGTAGGAGATATAAATGAAGACCAGCTGAATTATTCGAATCATAAACTTCGCGATTATTACTGAACAATATGACCAACGTTATTCAGGTACCAACTCGTGTTACACCAACTACCAGTACATTAATTGATCCTATAGCAACAACAAATAACATTCATGTTTTAGATTCGGGAATTTTCGAGACACCAAACGAGATAAGTGATCATTTCGGCACCTACATTTTTTTCAAAATTGAATTTGATTCAAATAAACCATTTAAAAGAAGAGTATGGAACTACAATAACGCTGATTTTACTAAATTTAATACCCTTATTCGTGATTTCGATTGGTCGTTCATTATCAGTGAAAATATTGATCTTGCATGCGAACATTTTACAAACACTTTTTTAGATATTGCTAAGCGATGCATTCCTACGTATATAGCGTTAGTAAGGCCTAAAGATAAACCTTGGTTTAATTCCGAAATTCGAAAAACTTCGCGACTTAGGGATAGACAATTTCATAAAGCATTGAATTCAAATAACGTACATGACTGGAATAAATACAAAAAAAAAACAAGAAATAAGGTAAATAATATGAAAAAAACATGCCAAAAACGTTTTCTACAACAATTTAGAATTTTCACTTAACGATCTTAATAGCAATGATTCGCGCAAATATTGGAAAACGGTAAAAATTCTCGTCAAAGAAAACTCTTCTGATTCGGGAAATGTTCCACCCACCTCTTATTAAATGTAGTAACACAGATATATCATATTTTGACACAGAAAAAGCAAATACACTGAACGATTTCTTTGTTTCAATTTCAAATATTGACGATTCAAACACTGAACTTCCAGATTTTCACTCAAAACACATTCAAAACTTAATAATATTTTAATTACAGAACAAGAAGTTAGATTACATTACATTAGATAATCTTATCATAAATAAAGCTTCGGTCCCGACGAAATTAGTCATAGAATGTTGAAAGAAACATCTAAATCAATATGCAAACCTCTTTGTTTACTCTTTAATCGATCTTTAAATGACAATATGTACCCAACTAATTGGAAACTTGCTCATGTTATGCCTTTATATAAGAAAGGAAATAAAGATGAAGCATCTAATTACCGACCAATATCACTAATAAGTTGTGTCGGAAAAGTAATGGAAAGAATAATTTTTAAACATATATATAACTATCTTAATGAACATTCACTTATTTTTCAAAACCAATCAGGCTTCCTTCCAGGCCACTCCACTATTTATCAATTAATAGACATTTATAACCAAATTTGTAAATCCTTTGATACTAGGGAATCAACATGTATAATTTTTTGTGATATTTCAAAAGCTTTTGATAGAGTTTGGCATAAAGGTTTAATTTTTAAGTTAAGACAATATGGAATTGAAGGAAACTTGATAAACTGGTTGGAAAATTATCTAAAAAACAGAAGTCAAAAAGTTTTTGTTAATACTTCGTTTTCTTTACCTAGGTATTTATACGGTGGAGTCCCCCAAGGCTCGGTCCTTGGGCCTCTTTTATTTTTGATTTACGTTAACGATATAGCGGATTCCCTTTTAAGTGTAACAAGACTCTTTGCAGACGACAGTTCACTTGCAGTAACATCAAACAATGTAAACACAATCGAAGAAACTATTTATCACGACCTTGATAACATTCATACTTGGTCAAAACAATGGTTGGTTAACTTTAATCCAGCAAAAACAGAAGCATTCTTTACATATGTCAATCGAAATCGACCTAATTTATACTTTAATAATGTTCAACTTAATTTTGTAGACCACCATAAACATCTAGGTGTTACATTTAGCCAAGACGGTAACTGGCATGAGCACATCGCAAATATAGTATCATCTGCATCAAAAATACTAGGTTCAATGAAAATGATAAAATTCAAAGTTAAAAGAAATACTCTTAATCATATATATGTTTCCTATCTTCGTCCAAGGCTTGAATATGCATCAATTGTATGGGATAACTGTACACAATATGAAAAAGAAACTTTAGAAAAAACTACAAATATGAAGCAGCAAGGGTTGTAACAGGTCTAACTAGATCTGTTTCAATTCAAAATCTTATAAACGAAATAGGATGGCTTTCATTAGACGACAGGAGAAAAATGCAAAAACTTATTTTAATTTATAAAGAAAAACATAACCTTTTGCCGTTATATTTATCACAGTTATTCCCACCAACAGTCGAACATGTTTCCTCACATTTATACTCGCTACGAAATAATGCTAATTATGCTTCAATAGCAAGAAGAACAGAAATGTATGCTAAGTCTGTCATTCCGTCCTCTATACAACTATGGAACGAATTACCAGCCCATATTAGAGAATCAGAAACATTATCGATATTCAAAAATAAGCTTAAAACATTATAATTATACAAACAGCAGGTGCAGATGAACTAGTAGATATATGATGACAAGATATTCTTATAAACTTTTCAATGGTTCATTGGGTTTTACTAGAATTGTATATCACTTTTGAATGAACGGACGAAAGACATTGTTCATTATTTATAACTTTGATCGGCATGCTAGAAATTAAAATATTACTTGTTATTTCTTTATGATCGTGGTTATTAATAGCAACGGATACCAGTCAGTTTGAGTTTATTTATACTCGGCGCCGGTTAAACCATCTGTCCGAGAATATAGCATCCGTGCCGGTCCACTAGGGTAGTCACATCGGGGACGTCTTTTTCATGCTGAGTCTTCCTGAAGCCTATTCTTCGTTCGTTGGTGGTAGAGGAGTACGACAATACTGGCCAGGCATCATGTTCCATACTGGTCGATAACAAAAACGGCTCTCGTTAGCGCCAACCCTCCAGAGTTAGTCACGACAGGTCAACCAATCAC